AACTTGCATATTGTTTTAGGCCCCTCCCCAGAGAGGGCAGCTTGAGCAGCAGTTTCCAGTCCCTAGTGGCTGGTGGCCGGCAGCTGGTCAGAGCCTTGCAGAGGCAGGGCAGCTGGGGCAGGAACAGGGTGGGGGGAGGAAACCTTCTACTTTGTGGGGTGCTTTGGAGTTTCTCTCCAATGACTGGGTTGTTGAGCAGAGTGCAGTCTCCTCAGACATCGCTCAAATTGTCTTCCCTGGGGTAGCACTGCTGCAAGACCAAGCAGAAAAGTCAGCTGCCTGGGAAAAGACACACACACACACACATACACACACACACACACACACACACACACACACACACACACACACACACACGGGAGGATGGAGCTTCTCCATTGTACAAACATGGACTGAGGCCTGGAGAGAACAGTAGGTTTCTGGAGGTAGTTAACAACAGATCTAGGGTGAGAACCCAGGCCAGTGCCTTTGCTTCCACACAACACTGCCGGACCTTTGTCACCTGGGTGAGTCCTGAGTTCCTTATAGGAGAAACCTATTGTTTCCAGAGATCAGGGCTCTTGGTTTTTTCTTTGCCTTTGAAAAAATGCCCAGCCCATCTCCCTCAGCACTTTCCTGGCACGGCCAGCCCTGTGTACCCCCACATCTCACTTCTTGCTCTCTGTGGCTTCCAGAGCCTCCCAGACAATGGCCAGTTCAGGGGCCCTTCAGCCCTGGCTGCCACGGTATAAAGATAGGGCTCAGGTTGGGCCTATTCCCAGCCAGGTAATTCAGCTTTGCACAGATCTGGAGATGATGAGAACTTTGGAACTTATTAATAATAATAACACTTCCCCCTGATAGTTGAGTGTTTGAAACTTATAAAGACCTTGTAATTTGATCCTCAGAGAAGGCAGTGGGATGGAGACTTCTTCCCTGGTTAACTGATGAGGAAACCAGGCCTCGGGAAGAGACAGGACTCACCCCAAGTCATGAGGGTGGGAGGGAGAGTTTAGCTAGGACCTCACCTAGGTGTTCCTGACTGTTGTTCAGCTCTGTGTGGTGGTGATGCCCCTGGTGGGCATTTCTTGCCAGGGTGGAGGGAATCAGCATCTGGAAGTGCTGCTGCCTACCTCACTGCTTCACTCCCACCCAGTGGAGCCTTCCAGGAAGAGGGCATAGAAATGGATGGGGGTGGGGGTGGCCAGGGGGGTAACACCACCTTTTGGCAGCATGGGAAGAGCACCTCCTCTGGGTTCCAGGCTGGCGGGAGGCAGGGATAGTTGGCGTCTTGGGAAGTGTCACCATCCCCAAGCACTGGTCTTCATGCCTGGCAGCATAGCCTGAGCAAAGCTGTGGAGCTAAGACAAGGTGGGTGCAACCTGGGATCCCGCACCGGGCTCAGCGTGCTGTTCCTCCCAGTGGTGCTGGCCCTGATGACCCTCTGAGATCTCCACCCCTGAAGGGCAGGGCAGGAATCTGGGGAGCAGGGCTCTGCCAGGGCTTTTCAAACTACACCCCCTCCGCTTCTGGGACTGTTCTTCCTTTGAACTTGCCTCTGCTTGACATTTCATGCTCTTTCTATGGCTGGTCTTCTTGGGGCCTTGGTGATGGATAAGGCCATGCAGGAGCCCAGCAGAAGAGAAGGAGGGGGTGGGATCGGCCACGGTGGAAGGAGCAGGACCTGCCCTCTGATGGTTGGGGTGGGGTGTGGAGCTGTCTGGTCTGGGAGGGACCAGGGCGAGGAGAGGTCGGACCTTCTGAACAGCCTTTCCCATTTATTGCCTCAGTTTCTCTGTCTGTGACATGGGGACTCCCCCTGGGGTGAAGGGAATTTTGTGTTCCTTCAAGGCTCAGGAGCCTCTGCTCTGGGAAGACAGGAGAAAAAAATCAGAGGGAGAGAACCCATCTCTGCGATGAGAGGCAAGTGGAGAGAGAAAGAAAAAGAGAATATGAAATGAGAGAGAAAGGGGATAAAAGGAGAGACACGTCCTGATATGCAGCTGAAGCCCCAGGGCTGAGGCTTGGGACTGAGGTGCTCCCTTCTGGCCCACTCACCTACTGGATGCTCTGTCTTTCAGAGGTCGCCTCCCACCCTCCCAGGCAGTCAGCTCCTCACCATCTCTGCCTCCCTGTCTCTGTGTCTCTGCAGCCTCTATTGATCTCTTGCCCACCTCCGTCTCTCCCTTCTTTCCTACCCTCTATGCCTCCCCGTTCCTCCCCAGCCTCACCCCCTCCACCTCTCTCCAGTTCCCACTCACTGGTATTGATTGGCCTCTAGGCGGTTTCCCTTCCTCTCCTCTCGCCACCGGCTCCTCCCTCCCTCCCTCTGGGACCATAAATTTCTGCCTTCTCAGAGCTGTGTCAGTCTATATTCCAGATCCAGGGGCACAAGGATGGGACAGAGAGGGCAGGAGGAAATGGCCTCTGGGAGCCCCAGCCCTGCTCCTTGGCCTGCAGTCTCTCTTCCCTCATGGGGCCATGCACCACCCCAAGCCTCCTCTTGGATGCCTCTGAGGACCTGGCCCTGGCATCTAGCGGGGGTGGAAGGCTGGCAGCAGCACGACGGGAGCTGTCCTGGGTCCTGACTATATCCTTGAGCTGGGGGCAGCACACAAGGCTCACGGTAACAGTGTTTGCTCCCAAATGGAGTTCAGAATCAATAAGCAGCAGCCAGCTCTCTCCTGCCTCTCCACCCTCCTATCTCCCAGCCCTCCCCTTTCTCACGTAACCCCCCCCTTCTTGCCCCTTCTTTGCCCGCCCTCCTCACTGTGCTACACGGTTTCTTCAGCTCCCTGCAGGTGCACTCTGCTCTCTGCTTCTCTCCCTCTTTTATCCTCTGCTCCGTCTGCTCCCTACACCCTCCCTCTGGCCCCAGCAAGCTGATGTGGGCCTCAGACCATGGCCTCCAGATGAAGGGAAGGGAGTCTCCCTGCATTACCTCTGGGGCCATGACAAATGCTTCCTAGAGGCCCCCAAAAGTTTGGGGGGCAGATCCCAGTTGATGGGGTACCCTGAAGAAGTGTTTTCCTCAGCTGGACATAAGTGGTCCAGGAATGGTTTTGTCCTAAATGGGGCACTCAGTGGACAGGTGTCCTTGAGACCTCCCTCATGGAGGCAGAGGTTGAGGCTGGGGTGGTGGGAGTGGAGAGGAAGGATTGGAGGTGTCTGGGAGCAGATTGTGCAGAGGGGTTGGGGAGCACCCTTTGTGGGGAGGTGGTGAGGATAATGTATGTGTGAGTGGCCTGTCTTATTCTGAAATACCTTCGGGTTCTGGGTGTATTGTTTGTATGCTATGGATGGCCCTATTTTGGAGGTGAGCTTCAGGGGAGGGGCAGGGGTGTCTATGTGTATGATGGCTATTTATTGCCTGTGATCAAACATGTATGTGTGTGCACATATGCGTCTGTGAGCATGCTACACACTTGGCTGAGAGTGATTCTGTGTGCCAGTGTCTGTGAGCACATGCATGCATGTATGTGTCTGAGCCTGTGTGCGTGTGCCTGCTTACACACTGGTGCCTGTATGGGCACGTGGGTGTCTCCATACCCACACCGGTCCACATCCTAGCGTGCACGTGTGTTCAGAGGGGTGCGTGCAGTGGTGGCGGTGCCCGCATCTCGGTGCTCTAGACCAGCGAGCACTATTGGGGTTCGTCCAGTTGGAAGGGGGAAGGGGAGGAAGAGGAAAAGAGCGGCCTCTCTTGCTCGCCTCAGTCCCTTTCAATTATTCAGCAGGGCCCCTTCTCGCGGAGCGGGGTGCGGGAGGAGAGCGAGCGAGCGCGCGCCTGGGCGCGGGGGAGGGGCAGGGCGCACGCGGAGGAGAGGCGAGCGCTGAGCGGGCTAGCCAGGTGCCGCGCGGTGGAGCTGCCCAGCGCCGCCCGCCGATCGGGAGCCGCTTCGGTCCCTCCGCCCTGCCCCCTCCTCCTTCCGCGCTCCCCTTCCCCTCCCATCTCCACTCTCCTCCCTCCCTCCCTCCCTCTCCCTTCCACCTCTCAGCCTCTGCAGCAACACTCCGCTGCCTCCATCTCTCCACCGGAATCTCTCAGGCTCGCGCCTTTCCTCTGCTCAGCCCCGCTCCCCTCCTCTCCCCTCCTCTCCCCTCCTCTCCTCTCCCTTCATTCCCCCTCACCCGGATTTGCTTCCCTTCCCCCTTCTCCCGCCCCCCCTCCCCTGGCCGCTCCCTCCTTTCCCCCGGCCTCCGTCGGGCGGCAGCGGCAGCAGCGGCGCGGCCGGCCCTAGTCGCCGTCGGTCTCCCGCTTTCCGGGAGCCGGGCCTCGGTCCGTCTTCTCCTCTCCAGCCGCACCGCCCGCGCCCCGGCTGGTTTTTCCGCAGGATTTCCCCGCTCTCCCCTCCCTGCTTGGCCCCTGCTCTTCCCTCCCTCCCCACCCGGCACCATGCCCCCTCCCCCGGGCGCTCCCCCGGGTTTCTGACGGCCCTCTGCGCCGCTCCGACCCCGCCGGGATGCGGAGAGACCCCTAGCTCCTCGCGATGGACCCAGGCGTCCTGCACCTTGGCATTGCCGCTCCGCGGACCCCCGATTCCCCGGCGGGATCCAGTTGATTTCGTTGGCTCCGCACCGAGGCTTGGGCTCTGGTTTTCCTTCTCTTCACCCTTACCCCCCCTCCCGGAGTTCGGAGCTGGAGGGGGGCTTCGCGGGGCTGCGCAGCCCCGCGTCCCCGCCCCCGGCCATGGGGCTGTGAGGCGGCCGCCCCCGGGCCGAAATGCCCCCTGGGGGGAGCGGGCCGGGGGGGTGCCCGCACCGCCCCCCCGCCCTGGCTGGGCCCCTGCCGCCGCCGCCGCCACCGCCGCCGCCACCTCTGCCGCCGCTGTTGCCACTGCTGCTGCTGCTGCTGCTGCTGGGGGTGGCCGAGGGGGCCCGGGTCTCCTCCAGCCTCAGCACCACCCACCACGTCCACCACTTCCACAGCAAGCACGGCACCGTGCCCATCGCCATCAACCGCATGCCCTTCCTCACCCGCGGCGGGCACGGTAAGTGGCACTGCCGATGCCGGCCGGCCGGCCCCCCAGGCCCCCGCGGGCCCCACCCCACCTGTGCTCTGCCAGTCGGCCCTCTACTCTGCAGCCCGGAGCCCCCTCACCTCCCGTAGCCAGCTCCCATCAGCTTGGCCCCACCCTCGCCTCCATCACTCTACTCCCGCCATCACCCTCATCTCTGTCTTCATCACTTTGCTTCTTTCTGTGCTCACCGTCCCCTCCTTACCCCCCTGTCTGGTTTGTAATCACCTTCCTATTTGGGTACCCCCATCGCCTCCCTCTCTGTCCTTTCAGCCTCTCCTACAGCTCTGCCTTCCATCTCTCTTCCGCATCACCTCCTCCATCTCTGCCCCTTGTCATTTCTCCATTTGTCTTACCTCCACCCCTGCCTTACCCTCACCTTCCCACTGCTGGTCTGTCGTCCTCCCCCTCCCTCTCAGACTCCGTCTAATCTGTCATTTCTGCCTCTTTCACCTCTTCATGTATCTCTTTCTCTTCTGTCCCAACAGCAACCTGCCCTTCTTTTCCCAATACAGGTCTTCCACCTAGTCGCAGATGATCACCCTCCACTGTCCCACCGTTCTCCCATCCTTGTCCTCTCATCTCCCGTGTCCCCCTGCATGCTGCCTCGTCTCTGCCCTGTCTGCACCTCTGACCCACGGCATCTCTCACCTCTGCAGCCCTGGCACTTCTAATTTCTGCTCCCAGGCTCCCCTTCACCTCCTGTGTCAGTCCTCTGTCACTGTCCACTGACTGTCACCTCTCATCTCAGCCCTTCATAATTGTCCAGCTCAAAACTGACTTCTCCTTCCTTCTCACAACCCATCCCCTTCCGTGTCTGGCTTCTGTCTCTTCTTATTTCCACCCTTCTTCACCCCCATCTCAGGCCCCTCATCACTTCATATCTTAGACTCTTCAGATTCCCTGGATGCTATCTCCCCATCTGCACTTGTCTCCTCCCGTGTCTGTGCCCCATTACGTCCCATGTCTGTCCTATCACTTCCCATCTCAGTCCCTCCTTCACATGCCATCTTGGAGCTTCTGTCACCTCCCATCCCAGAGACCCCATTATCTCCCATTTTAGTCTAGTCATCACTTTCCTTCTCTTTACTCCCATCACTTCCCATCTCTGTGTCTTGTCATGACCTCCCATAGGTACACCATGGCTCCCATATTGGTTCCCCTCATCACCTCCCATACCTGTCCTCCTGTGGCTCCCCTCTCTGTGTCCTCCATCCTTACCTTCCATCTCTGTCACCTCCCACTGGGGTACTCTGACACCTCCAAGCTCCCATCACCTCTCATCACTGCCTTTGTCAGTTCTCTCTTGGACCCATGTGGCCTACATTTCTGTACCCCCATCCTTTCTCTTCCCTGTACCCTTCTCACCTCCTGTTTACATCACCTCTCATTTTTTACTCCACTTTTGTCCTCCATTGTCCTCCACCCCTGTATTTTCATGCCTTCCCATCTGTGCTCTCTCTGCCTCCACTTACATCATTGTTCTACATCCGTCTATCCTTGCTTCCCAATTTTTGGGCCACCATATCACCTCCAATTTTTTTGCTTCTTTTCTGGTCTTCTTCCCTTTTCTCCTACTTCATCTTATGTCTGTTTTCATGCCTTTATTTTCTCCTCATCCAACTCCCCATGGAGCAGCCTGTTCAGACTCTCTCCCTCATTCCTTTCCTCTCATCCCAGCATAGTTGCCCTCCTCTCATCTCTGAAAAGCTGGGATCCTCTCAGCAGTTCTCTCCAGTTTCTTCCTCTTCTTCCATGTCCCACCCCACACTTTGCTCTTGATCTTAGCTCCCTCCCCTCCCCAGGAACTGTCTGGCTTCCCCTTCCATTGTCCCTTTCTGCCTCCCTTGAGGCCCAGTGTTGCTCCCAAAGGTACTTAGAAAGGCCATGGTCTTTTTGGGCAATGAGGCAGGAAGGGCCGAGATGGGAAAGGGGAGTCAGGTACATGGGCAGCCTTGTTGGGCAGAGAGGAGAGAAGATGAAAGAGGAAGGCAAAAGTCGGAGAAGCTGGCCCAGGGACACTAAGCAGGTTGGGAGGAGGGCCTGGGGTAGGAGTGCCTGAGGAAGGTTCCATGGAGAAGCAAGAGCTAGGCAGAGAGAAGGCAAATGGGCAGAAGAGCAAGGAGAGGGAACCTATGGAATGTTGGCCTTGGGACTGCCTTGGAGATGGCCACCCCCTTGCTGTGCAGAGGAGGAAGAGGGCCAGTGACTGCATATGCCTCACAGAAGTAGAGGAGGAGCTGGGGGAAGGGGGCGGCTGGTGTGGAGGGGCCTGTGAAGGGTGAGGAAGCTGAGAGGAAGAAGAGGGCCCAAGGAAAGATGGAAGAGTAGGGATGAGGCCACCTGTCCTGACTGAACCCCACTTCTGCTTGCCTTAACCATGGGGGTGATGAAAGGACAAGTTCCTATGGGGCCCCATGCTTGGCTGGAGGACCAGGCCAGCTCTGGAGGCCTTTCTAGGCCAGTCTTCCTCTGCGCCAGTGTCTCCCTAGCGTCCCCAGTGTGGGGGAGCCTCTGTTCCTTCTGCACCTGCTTCTATACTTCATTTCTCTTGGGGTCTGCATTTGCTTCTGCCTTCCCTTCCCCCTCCTCCTCTGACACTTCACCCATTTACCCTTCCATTCCCCAGCCCCTCTTGTTACATAATGTCCCTACCTGCCAGACACCCATGGACTCTCCTGCCCCTGATGTCTGTCTGGCGTGTGGAGGATTGGCATATCTGAGTCCTAAAAATGGGCTGAGGAGGTGACACTCCTGGTCCTTGACCCCCAATTCTGGCTTCAGAGTCCTTGAGGGTCCTCTCCACTCCCAACTTTCATTTCTGGTACTCTTTGGAGCCAGGAATGAAGTGGTCAACTCCAGTTCTATTCTGTGCCAGTGTCTTCCAGGGGTTCTGGGTTTATCACCCCTGTGCATAAAGGGGGCTAGCATTTATTTTGATTCTGAATATGGGTGTGTTAACTTGGATTTCTGACAGGATGGTTTTTGGCCAAGCAGGGGGTTAAGAATTGAAGGGCTATGTTCTGGGATTCTAGATCAAGAGAGCTGAGCTCAGGGATCTGGCCCTGTAGAGATCTCTCCCTCTGGTTTGTGAAGGTCCATATACAAAGAGTTGGCATGGGCTGTGAGCACTGGGACCAAGGCTTTTCTGGATTGTGCCAGAGGTTTTATCCTGTTACAATTCTAGATCTTCCAGAGGCTTTTGTCATGGCTTTTGACGCTGCAGGGGTACAGGCAGACAGGGCGTGCACGTGTAGTTTTAACCACAGGGGCATCACTGCATGGGTGGGTTTTTACATGGGATGATTATGTTGTTTGGTCTGGGTTAGCTAACCATTATTAATGGTTGGTTGGTTTTTTCTAGAATGCAAGTGTGTGGGACTCTGGAAGATTCTTGACCATTTAGAGTGTTTCACTGAATTCAGTGAATTTCTGGGTCTAGGAGGCATTGAGGAGATGATGTTGGGTGTGCTCAGAAGGTGGTGAATCTTGTCCTGTGGCATCTGCTGTCCGGCCAGGGGGCTCTCTTGCCTTGGGCTTCAGGTGTGTTGCATTCCCTAAAATGTATGCACAATTCAGCGCACTAGCAGCTTCCTAGGTGGTCAGAAACAACTGGTCTAGATCACCCTTGGGCAACATTTTGGGCCTTGGCTTAGGCCCCTCTTATTTCTGAACTCTTTCTGGAGCCTGTCCGAGATTCTAGATGCAGTACCTTATCCTGGGTTCCATGTCTCCTAAAAGGCTGGTCATGCCTTCCCTGGGGAAGTCTGTGGGCAGGGCAGAGGACAGCTTGCCTGGGAGAGGTGGGAGGTGTCTCCAGAGCAGGCTGTGGAGGGACCCGGCAGAGGCCCCGCCTCTCAGCCCCGGTGTCTTCCCCCGCCCCAGCCCTGTGCGCCCTCGGGTGGCAGCGAGGTGCTGGGGAGAGAAATATCTCCCCAGGGTAATTACTGCGCCCCAGTTCAATAAACCATTCATCCTTCAGCTCTTCCGCACAAGAAGTGTCCCTCTGCCGGTCCCCCCCACAATGTGATAAACGCCCTTAGGCTTTAACAGGCCCGCCCAGCCTAGTAAACTGGCTGCAGTGTGAGCGCAGCTGGGTGATATACATGGGGAAGGCCTGGGCTGGATTGGACTGGGGGGCGGTGGGGGAGGTGGGAAGGCCTGGGGGTGGATGTGTGCATTCTAGCTTGCTCTGGGACAGCCCCTGCCCTTGGGCCACCTGCGGTAGCTAGTCTTTGTGTGCTCACCGCCATGATTCCCAGCTGCTTCGTCTCCTGTCGGGGTCTGCCTCTCCACGCTGGGTCTTTGTGTGCAGCTGGGTGAGTCGCTGCCTGTGTGTGGGTGTGGGGTCTGGCTGTGCGTCACTGGGGATGTGTCTGCTGCGGGACTGTGTGGTGGGCACCGCCTCTGATCACCCCTGCCTCACTGCCCAGTGGGCATCAGGCCTGCTTGTGCCTCGGCCCTCTCTGGCACAGACAGGGCTCTGTCCCTGGCGATGTGCTTTCTGGGATTGCGGGTGGGAAAGTGAGGAGAAAGGACCTCTTTCGCCTAGATCTGAGGGACTCCAGGGCAGCCTCCAGGTAGATGAGGTTTCCTTCCTTGTTCTGACGGACCAAGAAACCCAATAAAACCCTCCTCTAACTGGGAGGCCCTCAAGCCTGGGCTGAAGAGGCTGTGGCCTCTGGTCAGGGAGGCATGGGTCCAGGTGTGTGAGGAAGGTCAGCATCCCAGCTCCCCTGGCCCTTCCCACCCCCCAAATCAGATGTGCAGTTTGTAAGCCGGAGGGGGGCGAAGGAGGACCCTGGGTATTGGGTTGCCATGGAAACAGCGGATCTGAAGTGCTGCAGTGTTGGGAGTGGAGAGACTATTGCTGGCTGAGGCCTACTGGGCTCCCCGCCTCCAGGCCCTGCCCTTTCCAGGCAGGTGACCACACCAGGTGGGGGTGGGGCTCTCTGTGTATCTTGCCCCCAGCCACCCTCAACTTGGGCCCCAACCTGAAGGTTCAAGGCTCACCACTGTGCCTCTAGAACCCCTAGGTAGAAAGAACACCTGGGGCTGGAGGGGCCAGAGACAAACCCCCTTTGTGTGCTGGGGGTAGTTCCCCAGCCACAGGCTGGGGCTAGATGTCAGTTATTAGTAGATATGGAGGTGGCTCTTTCCCCATTGCCCTGCCCCCCTCCCACCTCCCATCCTGGGGCCATCTCTGACTCTCAGGCCCTGTCAGTGGAGGTGGAGAGCGATGATGGTGGGTGCTGCTCTGGGGAACACAGTGGACTCATGGCCCTACTTTCCCCAGCCCCAGCCCCCTGCTGGCCTCATTGCCTCTCTGGGACTCAGACAACAGCCTTCCCTTCTCTCTGTAGCTCCTCCCTGTGCCTGCATACAGTGCCTCTCTCCAAGGCATTCAGGAGTCCCCCTCTCCTGTGGGGGCCTCCCTTAACCCTGATTGCCTGAGTCTCTGAGATGAGAGACCTTGAGGTACCCAAGGGGACCTGGCCCCATGTTACCAGCTGGGACACCATCTTGGCTGAGCCAGATTGCTCCTTGGAAGTGCGGCAGGCACCCCCAGGACTCCCTGTGCCAGCCCAGAGCTCCCCACCCCCAGGGCCAAACTTTTCTTCCAGCCATACTCCAGGCTTTGCCCCCAGGCCCCATCTGCCTCTCTCCTTCTCTCTGGTTAAGTCCTCTCTTGTACCCCTCTCCCCCCAAGAAGTGCTTTGAGAGGAGTCGTTAGTGGCTAATTATTTAATTAAGCATTTTATGAATCTCATCTGCTCCATTTATGTTCTAAAGAATGCCAGAGTATTCTCTTCCCTTTCCTTCTCCGCAGGCCCCAAAGTGCTAGTTCTCCAGGCCTCCCAGACAAGGCTCCCTTCCCAGAAACTGGGTGACCAGCCCCCCACCCCCACCCCCAGGGAGCTCAGTCAGCCGCAGGAGGGAACATGGCGACTAATGGGGTTTATTTTGGGGCTGAGATCGTTAGGGACCTCACACCGCCCCCAGCAGCCGGCTGGCGAAGAGGAGAGAGAAGGGGAAAGAGGGTGGGGTGGGGGAGGGCTGGGAGAGGGAGCCTTCATCTCGGGCTCCCACTCTCCTGTTTCTCTCACCTACACCCCTCTCTGTCCTTCTCTGTCCATCTGTCTCTGCCTCCTTCCTCCTCTGGCTGTCAATCTCCCCCCCCTCCCATGTCTGTGTCTTCCTTTCTGGGCAGGGCTCCAGGTCCTCCCTGCTTTGGGACCCAGGCAGCCCCCTGGTCGAGGTGGAAGCAGGGAGTCCTGGTCAAACCTGGTGGGGATGGCAGGGCAGATGTTGGGGGCACTAGCTGACTCAGAGCTGCATACAGCCCTACTTATCTTCCTGCCATCGCCTGGGGCTCCTTTCAGCCTTGGTGCCTGCTCAGCTCAGGCCCCAAAGAAGCACACACCTTGAATCTGTCACCCATGCCAGCCCAGGGAGAAGTGGAGCTGGTCAGGACCAGGCCCCCTGGGTCCTCCCTGCCCAGGGCACCTCATCTGTTCAGTCTCCTTGCAGCCTCTCTCTGTGTCACTCTCTCTATTACCTCTCTGTTTTGCTGTAATTAAAGCTAGAATTCTTGATGAGGCAGCTACATCTGTCTGTGCGCGTGCACAGGCTCTCACCCAGGCACCCGCCTGCCAACTGTTCCCTGGGGTTGCAGGGCTGGTGTCTGCCGTGGGTATAACAGCCCAAGCCGCACATCTGGACCCAGGGTCCCCGTGGCATTCTGGTCACAATCCTGAGGACCTGCTGACCTTGCTCTCCTGATGTCATTTCTCCCTCTCTCCATTCTCTCTACAGCTGGGACCACATACATCTTTGGGAAAGGGGGAGCGCTCATCACCTACACATGGCCCCCCAATGACCGGCCCAGCACGAGGATGGACCGCCTGGCCGTGGGCTTCAGCACCCACCAGCGGAGTGCTGTGCTGGTGCGCGTGGACAGTGCCTCCGGCCTTGGAGACTACCTGCAGCTGCACATTGTAAGGACCCAGGGCCCTGGCCCTCTGACCCCCAACCTTCCCAACCCCAACTGCACTCAGTCCTTCACTGCCATGGCATCAGCACTCCAAGTCTTTCTCTCATGGGGAGCCCTCAGAACCTCTGTTCCCCCATCTCTCGAGCTTTCTGCTAAGAAGTTCTTCTTCTGAGACCCATTCCCATCCCAGTTATTCACTGAGACTCCCAAAGCTACCCTTGCATGGGGTTTGAATATCCCCCAGCTCCCTGAGACCATTTGTGTCCTCTGACATTCCTAAACATAGGCAAGGGCTTCCTTGGGCCTTCCAGGCCATTCTCCTACAGCCTTAAGAGATGTCCGACACTTGTGACTACCCCTAGGCTGCTGTCTGCTCACTCCTAGACCACCTAGGGTGGCCCATGGTGTCCTGCATCTATTCCTGCCCCCTCCTACCTTCCTGCCCCAGGCAGACCACCCTCCCTATCCCAGCTGCTGCTTCATCCTGTCTCCAGATCCTGCCCCTGCCTCTGCCCTACCGTGACCTCTGCTCTCATGACCTTTGCCCTCCCAGCAGTCCCATGTCCCCACCCTGGCCTCTGGTCCTACCCAGCTCTGCCTTCTCTCCTGGCCCTGCTCCCTGCCATGACCTTGGGCCTATCCCAGGACCTCCCTCTGGGCCTCTCAACTTGGCTGTCCTAACTCTAGCCTGCAGGTAGGCCCTCTTCTTTCCTGGCCTTTTCCTCCATCTCTGGTCCTGCCCCACTCTCTTCCCTATGCCTCTGACCTCAGCCTCTTCCCTGACCCTCCCCATTTTTCTTAAATCCTGGGCCTGTGACCCCCATCTCCAGGTACACATTTCAAGCCCCTAATAGCACCTCGTTTCCCTGCCTGCACCCACATGCCAACCCTGGCCAGGAGCTCTGTGCTATGAGGAGCAGGCAGGCTGGCTAGGCTCTGTGGGCTGGAAAGGTCTGGGTGGGTGGCCCTAAGCTTTAAGGGGGCAAAGTTGAAATGGGAGAGAAGAAGCCAGGGGAGATGGCTTGTTTGTCTGGGCTCTGACTCCTCCAAAATGCTTGGGAATGCGGCTATGGGCCCCTCTTTACATGACAGCTTCTCAGCATCCCAGGTCTGTACCCCAATACCAGGGCGTGAAGGAAAGAGGCATGAGGGGAGACACCCTGTAGACAGAGCAGAGCTGGTGGAAGTGGCACCTGATGGGCTCTGGGCAGGGAAGGGCGCAGCGGGAAGAGTAGCAAGTGGGGCAGCGGAGCAGGCCTGAGGAAGAGTCCTGGAAGTTCTGTGTCTGTGTGTGAGTGAGCTGGACAGTGTCTATATTGGTGAGTGGTGGCCCGAATGTGAGAGACAGTATAGCTGTGGATAACAGTGTGGGGCTGGGTATATGATGACAGTATGTCAGGAGCGATGGCTGTGACTGGGTGACAAAGACAGAGACTGAGTTTTGGATCCGGTGAGTAGCTATAGATGTATATTTCCCAGTGGAGTGGTGTTTGCTGGTGTTTCCAGTCACTGTCTGTGTGTCAGGGTGTGACTGTTTCCCTGTGTCCTCTGAGTGAAGGCTGCTCTTCCTCTCTCTTCACTGTCATGAGAAGCTATGACGGTGGCTTTGGAGCAGATGTCCTGGATTTGAGTTCCAACTCTGCCATGTCCTTGTTCTGTCTCTGTGCAAGTCCCCACAGCTCTCTGAGCCTTAGTTCCCTCATCAATGGAGTGGCACAGTAAGAGGACAGAGGGATGCTATGAGGCTGAAATGAGATTGGGTATGTAAAGCACTTAGGGCCTGGCCCACCTGCAGGAAGCACATGGCGTTAGCTAGTATCTTGATCACCTCTGATTAGCCCCCTGGGCAGTGTCTGTGTGTGCCATGTGTCTCTGTGGCCACTGGTTTAGGGGACAGGGTTGCCTGGTGCTGAGGAGAAAGGGTAGGGGACTAGGGTGTTGGGAGAAGGGATTTCCTCCTTTTCCTTCCCAACAGCCACTCACAGGCCTCACCTGGTGCCTGGTGCTGCAGAGGGCAGGGTGGAGGGGCAGGCCTGGCCCTAGGATGGGGAGGCCTGGCAAGGGAGGGGACACAAGAGAAGCCAGCTCTGAGGGGGAGAGTTGGGCACCAGATGGGCTGCAGCCCCTTGGGGGCAGTCTCAAGCCCCCTCCTCCCTTGGTGACACATCAGCTCTCACCACAGTGTCATTAGCAGCTCTCAGAGAGTGGGGAGGCGGCAGCAAAATAAGAGAAAAGCAATTTGACGTTTCTAATAAAGCGTCGCTCCACTTTGCCAAATTAATTTTGACTCCCATAATTATTTGCTGTAGGAGCGGCTGCGTTCTCCCCACCGCCGCCTAATGAGGTAATTGGGGAATTAGGAATTAATGACTTTAACAGAAGTGACAACTGACTTCACATTGGGTGAGGCTCTGGGGAGCTGCCTCTCCCCCGGAGTGCAGGGCTCTGAGCTTGGCTGCCTCCTAGGAAACCCAGGTGTCCTGCCTTCTGGTTCTGCTGGCCAAGCCTCTTGGCTCCCAGGCTGTGTGTGCTTCCTGACCACTGTCACTGCCCAGGCTGAGACTCATGGGGAGAAACCTCCAAGGGGCAGATGCTATTCTGGGTGATATTATTACTAACAATAGTAACGAGGTGGATTGCCTGTTCCCTTCCCGTGTGTGGGGAGCAGATGATCAGCCTGTCTCCCTGGGGATGTTGTCAGTCTGTGGGTGGTGGGTGGGTGGGGTTTGCTAATACTCTTTGTTAGGCAAGCCTAGCCTCAGTTTCCCTGCTTTACTGCAACTGAGGAGGGACGCTGTGTGTGTGTGTGTGTGTGTGTGTGTGTGTGTGTGTGTGCACGCGTGCATGTCTGAGAGGGTGTATGCACATGCATGAGTGTGTGGCTTTCCCAGGTTCCAGGAGGGGGAGGACTGGATGCCACAAGTGGGAAGGATAGAACATGAGTCTCCAAGTAAGCCACGGCTGCACACCCTGCCCCCGAACTCTCTCTGCCAAACCCCAACCTCCGTAAGCCACCCCTGCCCCCACCCCCAGTGCCACTGAGCCTCTCAGCTCCATTAGATGGAGGAGGTGGCAACTGAATGGCTGCTGATTCCCAGGCCGGAATGGGGCAGTCTTTCAGGAAGACCCCAGCAGTGTAGCACATTTCTGTGATGGGCTGGATCCCTGTGAATGTGAGTGAGCAGGGGGCCTGAGGGAGCCTGTGTTGAGTGTTCTGCGCAGGAGGAGAGCTTGGTGGATTCAGGAGGCTTCGTCCAGGAGTGCTGCTGGGAGGTGCAGGGGAATGAAATGGGGGCTCAGGCTTAGTGCCCAGTGGGCCTTTGCTGGTTTGGTTAGATGCCTTTGATCTTGAAGGTAGCTCGGCCAGCAGCCTCTTGGATCACCTCCCACTCCCACCCCAGCTCTTTGAGCCAAGGTCTCACCAGAATGGTGGACAAGGGGACAGAGCACTGGCTTTGGAGTCAGGCCAGCTGGGGTTCAAATCTGGGGATTCCCTCTCATGAGCTGTGAGATTTTGAGATGTTAGTTAATCTCTCTGAGCATTAGTTTCCTCCTCGATAAAAATGGAAGCTATGAGCTTCCCTGGGGTTGCTGTGGGGACGATGAGAGCACACATGTACAGTACCCACACAGGGCCCGGCATGTTTTAGGGCTTGAGCAAAGCTCTCCCTCTCACTCCATCACCACCAGCAGAACTCTTCCAGGGCTGGATCCTGGGTGGCCTCTGCAGGGTGCCCCATGGGCCTGGGTCCCAGAGATTGTTCAGGCTCTTTGTTTCATGTCTCTAGGCTTCAGTCCCTGTCTGTCCTCTGCCTGTCCTTCCCTAGCCTCACCCCATACCCCGACACCCTGATGCTCCCCTTGCATAGTTTGTCCTTCATCTCTTCCCATGTCCATCACCCCAAAACACAGTCCAGACCCCCCTTTTCCACCCCCATGCTGCAAAGGGGCAGCCCCCACACTCAGAGCCTGACCTACTTTGGGCCTGAGAGGTGCCACGAGTGGCATGTTGGAGTGGCATGTTGATGCCCTGGTGCCGGGGCCAGAGGCCTGCTCAGT